CTAATTACTCAACCCCCCGTGCTATGATATTCCTAGTGCAATATATATCAACCATCAATCCTATTTGCTATGCTTGCATCAAATATATAGAAATTGACAACCACTTTGTTCATAAGCAAGTGGTCTCCAAGTTTCTTATTATTTGCTTCATTTGCAATTGAGGCCAACTCGCAAATATATTCACCAAAGGTCTCATGGTGGCGTGGTTTAGTTTCTTTAATATATAGTTTAAAACTTATATTATCTTTATTGATTAATTTTAGTAATTTAATATGTGGATTATCATAATATATTAATATATGGTTCAAGACTTATCATTATAATTTAAATTTTGTAAACATTACCTTTTACATTACGTATTATAGACATTCATATATTAAAATGAAAATAAATGATCAAATCACTAAGTAACTCAATGGTCAAATAAGACAATAGCCTTTGTAACCATGAATGCTTAGGTTCAAATCTTCATGTCATCAAAAAATATTTTGGGGTTTATTTCAAGGCAACTTCGGTTCCACCAAGGCCAACCAAAGTTGTTCATCAGGTCGGTTTGAGTAGGGTAAACCTCTAGACCTTGGATTTGGCCTAGGTGGGGGTTAGTTCCAAGAATTTGGAAACAAACCTTACCCTTTAATATATTGAGTAGGGTTGGTTCAAGACCAATTTGAGATAAGTTCCATTTGATTATAGGTAGAACCTATCCATTTGCTCACCCCTAATACCACTAAATAATGATTCTACCAAATCAACAACACAAAGGTTATCAATGCATTTCAAGCACATAACAAATGGAATAAAGTTGTGAACCAATATAATTATCTAATCTCTTGTAACTATTTTATCATATGTATAAATTCAAAATTCAAATTCATTGAAAAAACTATGAAACAACTCAGTGAGAAGAATTCCTTAAACATTGTCTCCATTAGGACGCGTTTGGAAATGATGCAAATGGAGTGTAAATCCTGGTTCATGATAAATTTGCACTTTGGTTCACTTTTGCTTGTGTTTGGAAACATTACATTTATGCATTGACAAATGACATTTATGCATTACATTTGTACATATTTACATTACATTTATGCATATTTACATTGATAATAAGATGTAAAAGTACATCAATAAAAAGAAGTAAATTTGCATTCAAGTGGACTTTTGATAAAAAAAAAACATAATCTTTATTGGAATTCATGTTTGCATCTATTGTAGCCTAGGATGGGCTGCAACAAGGTAATTCCGCTTTCGAGCCGAGGGTTGATTGAGGAGTCCAAGGTCTATCGTGGCCGAGGGCCAGTAGGCCAGTCCTGCAAGGAGAGAGAGGGAGAACGTCAAAGGCCTCGATGAATACTCGAGGCGGAGACTCCAACGATCAAGTTAGTACGGGTGCAACGAAGGGTGGACGAGGCTTGAGGTTAAGATGCTCAGACGAGGCCACAAAGGGAATAAGGGAGCTCTTAGTAGTCCAAAATCTAGATGTTTACCTTGAGAGGGTTCCCCCTATTTATACTTGAGGTTGTTTGGAGGTAGGTGGGCGTGGCCGGTTAGGATGTGGTCCGACCTTGAGGAGCGTGGTCATTCGAGGCCGCCACGTGCGACCGTGCTATTGGCCCCGTGTCGTGCACCGGCCTTTGCTCTATGTGTGCCCTCATTGGGTCCGCCCTACATACCGCCGTCTGCCATGCGTGTGCATGCTATTGGTCTAGGCTATGTGCGCCTACATCAGCATCCATTACAACTAAAAGTCTATTTGGTAAGAAGGTAAATTTGTCGGTATAAAACTGACTCAATTTTACAATTTATATGAACAATTTTATACTCTACATATTTGCATTCACACTTATTTGCATCGTTTCCAAACGCAGCCTTAAAATCTTTTACTTTTGGAAAACTTCGTTACAAACTTCTAAATGAATACATGGAAACACCATCCATCCATGTAAACCCACAAGTGGTGGACCAGTACCTTTGGGTGACTCCAAAAGCTTCCTTTTTCATTAAAGAAACATAACTCCATAACCATCCACTTTCCCTCTATGTGTTTTTGTGTTTCTTTTGATTATTTGTTCTCCATAAATATATACTTAAATCAGTCCAACAAAAATAAGTAGCATTCATAGTTTTCCAGGCTTTTGAGTATGTTTGATTTGATTACAGACATTAGACATCTTTTTTTTTTGATATTAAATCACTCACATTTGCCCTCACATAGCCCTATTTCAATTTTTCTTGACATAGTATAATACTTTTTCTAACAACATTAATAATTCTTTTGAAAGGTAGTGAGAACCGATAGCAGGGGATGCAGTGCTCGAAACCACAACATGATGTTGTTATTGAATAAAGTTCCTTACATTATATGTACGAACCTTCATTCTTACGTGAATGCCGTCTTAGCTCAGCTGGTAGAGCGCATGGCTTTTAACCATGTGGTCGTGGGTTCGATTCCCACAGACGGCGTGTTTTTACGCTTTTCTCCGCCACCAAATTCAGTCGAATTTCCTTCCCAATAGAAAAATGAAAAAAAAAAGAAGAAAAATCTGTGCTGCCGAAAACATTAGGAACGGGCCCCTTTCTCCAAACAAACTCCCATCAATTTTGATAAATATCACCTTATCATTTGTTTTTAGAAAATTTCTGATACATACCCTTTATTTTAGGTTAAGTATCAATTTAGTACCTAAACTTTAAAACAGGACAATTTAATCCTCAAATTTTTTAAACGCGACAATCTAATATCTAATCATTAAATGAAACGTGAAAAGACAAAACTGTCCTTAAACTATCATTTAGTTTTTTTATCAACCTATCCGTAATATGACAATATAAACGTCTCATAATCTCGAATGAACACGAGAGTTGTAGCTTTACTAGTACCTGCCGTTAACAACGGTTCATCTCGATTTCTGCTGTTGCTGGACATCAGTGGCGGAGATAGATAATCTTTAATTTTTTTCTCCTTTATTTTTTAGAGAGAGACTGGAAATTGTTTTGCTGGCTGGGATCGATCCGTAAGAGCTGAGTTAATTTTTTTGGTTCGGCTTGGGAGTTCTGGGCAGATTTGAATTTGTAGTGGTGCTTTGCAAATTTAATTTTGATGAAGCATCCTGCTTCCAGTGAGATGGAGTGTTAATTGGTTGTTATATCTCGATTTAATTGGTTGTTAATTTGTTCTTGGTATGCTTGTATGGCGCACGTTAGCAATAGGAAATATACAGAAGAGATGACAGAGCAACAGATTTTTGTTGACAATTCGATTGCCGTTCAAGTAATGACAGATGATTGGAAATTATGAAGAAAGAAAACACCAATGGGAAGAAATAAACGATAAGAAATAGTAAAAAAAAACTAACATTTTCAAGGGCGCCGAGACACTTGGTGCAGCCGGAGTAGGACGAATTCCGGCAATTCCGTTCCAAATTCTTGACGGCAGCCATAAGAGTTGCGTTCCTGTGGGAGGTAAGGTTGAATGTGGCGGGGCAACTCAGCGAGGTAATCTGATGGAGCCGAATGCCACAGAAACAGAGAATGGCGTCGCATGTGGAGTTGGGCTATGGAATGTTTATATTATGACTCTGCAACGAGCTCTAAAGTGAGTTGACGCACTTCTGGCAGTCATCTGGTACCATCACATCGTCTGACAACGTGGGCATAGCTGACGGTACCTGTAGTGCTGACCTAGCATGCACAGCGAAGAGCCAGGCGACGAGCATCGGACAACAACGGCTACGATCGAGGTTGTGCCCGCATGCCTCACTGATGCCGTCGAAAAGCTCTTCGGAGAGGTCGAGATGGCATGTTTGTACTTGCGTTTGGACGGGAAAGGTGGGAACGATGTTTGTACCAGAGAAATCACCCGGTTTGATGGGCTACTGGGGACCGCTTTGAGATTCCGATGGGATTGCAGAAAGGGATATAGAAAACAAAGAGGATAAAGCGATGAGATACATGAATCCGAATAACGAGAAGTCCATTTTATTTATGTCTAAAATGTGAAGATTCAAGGAAACTCTGCCTTTGTGAGGAGTTGTTACTCTGCTTGCTTCAAGAAAGATTCAAGATTATCTGTTTTATTTTCGTGAGAAAGAAGATAATGAACAGTGTTTTATTTTAAGGGTAATTTTGATATTTTCGAAAATAGTAAATCACACATGTGGTCACATGATGTACATAACTGAAGGTCCATTACGTATATATTAAATTGTTTCATTTCGAAAGTTGGAGTATTAGATTGTCGAATTTTAAAGTTTAGGTATTAAATTGGCACTCGACATAAAATATAGGATACCTATCAGGAATTTTCTCTTTTTTTTTTGGTTTTAAAATCAAATAAAAACCGTTTGGGTTGGAAAGAAATTGTTTTTTAAAAAAAAGGTTGTATATATGTTTTATATTTTCAATATTGAAACACAAAACATGTTATTGAACTTCTGATTTAAAAAAATATATATTTTCATCAGATTACTTAATATCATGTGATATAAATAATGTAATTTTTACATTACAAAATTTGATTTGTTTTAAAAACCATTGTTTTAATGGTTACAAAAATATGTACCAACTTGTTTTTCTCTTTTGAAAACAAAGAAAAAAGAATTTAAGAATATGTTTTATTTTATTTTTTCGTTGGAATTATAATTTCAAAAACAAATGAAAACAAAAAACATTTATGTTTTAGAAGTCCACTAAAATATATACCAAATTCATTATAGTTTAATGGATCAACCCCGTGCATTATAGTTTTTTTAGTTATAAATAAATACAACAAAATTGGTATTAACGTGTCGACAGTTCAATTGTTTGGACTTTGGATCGACAGGTTATTTATCAGGTCAGCAGTTTTTGTAATACAGTGGGTGGGTTAAACCGTTAAAGGTTGATCCAAATCGAGATTGTAACAGACCACCGGTCTGACTGGTTAGACTGACAACGGGTTGAAAACACTGTTGCATTGAATTGAAACCTGAAGCAAAAGTAAATCAGAAATTGCACTTTATACTCTTGCACCGGTCTCACTCCTTCCTTCGGCAGAAAGTTCGAATTACTGATCTGAGCCGAAACTCCGGCAACGGTGATGATGAGGTAAATCACTGTCGATTTTTTTTTTCTATCCTCTTTCCTATTCTTCTTCTTCCTCCTCTCCTCTCTCTCTGTTACTTTATTTTTTCATTCCTCCTCAGTTTTTCCGCTGCAGACCAGACCAGACCACAGCAAGGTATGTTTTCCTCGATTTTCCTTCTAGCAAAGTATTTTTTATATAGATCTTTAGTAGAAGGCCTGAAATGCATGTTAAATTTGGTTGTTTCTACTTGACCTCGAAATGCATGTTAAATTTAGCAGCTCTTCTTTCAAATATTTAAATGTGTTTTGATTTTTTTTCCCAATTTCAGTTTGGAATGCATCCTTATGTAAGTAAAGCTGTTTGGTTGTTAGTTCCGTATGGTGTTTGAATTTTTCTACATTTATTCTGTTGTTTACCTGATTCAACTCTATCTTTGTAGCTAATAAGTCTGAAAGATCTCTATCAAGTTGATTAGAGTATAATAATATTCTAATCTAATTTCAAATTAGATAGAAGTCTGATTAAATATGAATAATGACAATAGCAAGCAAGAGTTTGAAATCAACAAATCAGAAACAATAGCAAGAGTTTTATAAACCAAATCTCGTGTACTAGAGTCCAGTAATGAGCTTTCTTCAGAAAAAAAATCAAAGAAAAAAAAAAGAAAAAGAAATTAGGACCTTTTAGATTATGCTCATGTTGTGCATTTCCAATGGCAAGCAAGCACAGATCGGAGGGGGTCATGTCAAATCGGGTGCTGGTTGAAAAACTTCTGCCAAACCCCTTCATATAAGTGCTGATTTGGAGTTTGAAATCCAAGCAAAGTCAGTATTCTTATGTTGCCAATCCTAAACAGTTGTTAGAAGGTACTAGTGAGAATGACAATGGGTAGTATAGTTGGATCCATCAGCATCTCAATGATAAATTTATTGGTAATATTTAAATCTACTTTCTATTTTTGTTGCCTTTATTGTTTTGATACAGTAAACCATAAAATCTCAGAGCAAAATTATAAGACAAATTAATATGACATAAGTCAACTACTTTGTATAACTGTTGGTGAGTTCAACTCTTTTCTTTATTCCCAAGGGAAAAAAACAACAAAAAGTTTATACATAGATTGAATTAGCAAGAAGAAATTTCCATTCTTGTAACTTGATTAGAGTATTACCATTCATGATAACAACATAGTAGAACTTTAAGACGAATCAATATATAAATTAACCTTTTTTTATCATGTATCACGAAGAAGTCAACAATGTAATTTCTAGCAAGTTCTCTTTTCTTTTCTTTTTCTTATTTTTCTTAGGTTGAATTTATTTTGATATATAAGTAGGCAGAAAACTTTGTTCTCACTTTTCACCATAATAAGGGGAAGACATATGGCTGATATATTTCAAAGTGAAATTGTTTTTCACCTCATTTGTATTGAAACAAACAAAGCCAAGCAAAATATCACCAGCCAAAGTCTATATGGAGATTAATTTAGGCTATTGAAACATTTAATAAATTGCATTCTAGGTATTTAATCAGTGTACCAACAACAACTAACTAACTAAAGCTTAAGTGCATGAGATTAAGAGCATGAACTAGTCATCATACCTAGGCACTATGGTTCATCTTAAGCATCTGACCATCAGTTGATGAGCAAGTAGCATCATACATGCTACCAAAATTGTCTGTGTGGAGCTGAAGTTGGGAAACCTTGTTGGCTTCTCTTGGAGTGGTGCCTATTGCACTTAAAGTAGACACCAGATCTTGCAGAATAGATGCAGAACTAGAAACAGTTCCTTCTGACTGTGTTACAACAAGAAGACCCAATTCCATATGTCAGTTCCCTCAGCTTCTTTTCCAAAAGAATACTCAAGGCATCACCTCCTATCACATTTAAACCAAGGGAAGGCAATTTGGAACTTTTTGCTGCAGCAGGGAGATTTTTACAATGAGAATCTAAAGAAGAGCTACTACTATTTTCTACAACCTGACAAGAGGAGTGTGATCCTGGAATATATTTTATCATAGGAGAGGTGAATGTGAATGAAACCACATCCATGCCATTCCTACTATTATCTTCCATCCACTTTGGGTGTCCATCTCTTGCTGCATTGGATTGGATAGGTTTTCTCATCTTCATCAACTGAAACAGTTGATGTTGCAAAGCCATGCTAATGAGCATCACTTTCCTCAATGGATAGAAGAATGCTAAGTTGATGACCCTTTGGAAAGGATGGAGAAACAAATCAAGGGTATTTTTTTTCATGTAAATTAATTAATATGATAACTGGTAGGTCGGGGTTAGCTTTGTGGTTAACTAAAAAATATAGTGCATGTGAACACTTTATTATAATTAAAAAATATAGAACCACAGGAACTATTGTCAGCCCGATCCCTTTCCAAAGGGTTTGTAGTTCAACCCCTCCAAGGGGTCCACCTACTGTCCATCTTCCCCAACCCATTCATCCACCCAACCATCAACACCACGCCCATTGGTTTACACCAAGAAATTGCTGATTTCCCCCTTGTCACATAAGATGTTCACCATCAGAAATAACACCCAATAGCAAACATCATCCCAATTAAGAAGGATCAATTGATAAACTTGCATCCTTTGTAGCATCCTTGATTTTTTCTGTGGTCTCATGAATTGGATGTCTAGAACCACAAGTAGTAGATAGGAGATCTCTGGGATGTTATTCCATCAGGGTTTGATAAAATCCTCTGTAAGTTGCTATGCTGAGTGTTGCTATTAGTAGGTTCTCAGACTGTCAAACAGACACCAAGTAGATGCCAACTTAGCAGTGGCACACAACAGTAATCTACTGCATCAATTAATTGCTGAAAGCATTTCCTTTCTTCTTGTTCAGTCAACTTCTTGAGGTAAGACTGGCAAATACTGCAGACTTACAATCTAGAACCAATAATGAACAAATTGGAAATCCTACAATCTAGAACCAAATTATTCTATTGAGGCCTTTAAGTTTTCTTTAAGGTCCACTTGTACAATTGTGGAAATCCTGCAAAATAACAACTGGACCTTATGTAGGAGCTAAAATGTCAAATTGGAAATTTCTCGATTTTTATGATTTTTTGTATTTTTAGACAGTGGGGTATTTTGGTTACGCTATTGTCTATGGGTTCTATCATATTATGCTTATGGTGAGTGATATCCTTAAACCTTAGAGTGATTCTAGCTGCTCATTGAATGATTTTGGGTTTTCTTTCTCTTTCTTTTTTAAAGGTAAAAATAAAATTTTATTAAAGTGAAAAAGGAGAGTACAAGAAAGATGACCAGCAGTATGGCTGACTGTTCATCTAGTTTTCAAGGTTTGCCAATGCCTTAATGCCCTTAAGAGAAATACAAAAATCCTAGTTATTGAATAGGGAGCCTTATTTTTTCTTTGGGGGAATCATAGAGTTTAGCTGATTGTTCTCTTTGATCTATTGCTGATATCAATAGGCCTTCATCCAAATGTTGACATGGTTATGGGTAAAATGTAATGAAGGTTGACTTGGAAGAGTCAATGTGACTTGGGTAGGAGTCAAAAGGAATTGTTGGAATCAAACACTTGATTGATTCAGGTACTGAAGGATCAAGGATCCACAATGACTTGGTTCCGTATGCTTGAGAGTGGAACCAATTTGGGAGGGAGTTGCGCATAACACAGACAAATAAGACTGGTATATTCCTATTTTTTTTCTAACATACGGCTTCATTTACCTGGTTATGCAGGCTCATCCAAGTGTGTGCAAGGGAGCTTATATGTCCAGCTTATCATGAACCATGTAACACCATATCAGCACCAAATTATGAACTATGTAAGTTCAGTCCTTATTTCTTCTTCATTTTTTTTTCTTGAAATTTCTTCAAAACATTTGAACCATTAATCCAATAATTATATAGTAGATTAAAAACATGAAACATCAATTTTGCCTTTTTAAGTTGAGATGGGCTTGAAACTATCTAATTTCAAAATTTTTCTAGTCAACTAATACATATCTTATATCTCACAGGGACCATTATAAACAGAAGCAATTAATCCCTGCAATTGGATCCAATACCAATATGTCTCATATCCAAGGAACTGTTATTTGTTCCAGAAAAGTAGGTCTGCAACCTAGAGGCCGAAGTGGTGGCCACGACTACAAGGGACTTTCATATGTATCTGATGTTCCATTCATCATTGTTGACCTGCTAAATTTTCGATCTATTGATGTTGATATAGAAGATAACAGTGCATAGATCCAAGCTGGATCAATTCTTGGCAAAGTTTATGGTGGAGAATGATTTTTTTTTTTGTAATTTTTGTTTGTTTATGTGTTTTTCTTTTCATATTTTCTCCATATATGCACTTGTTAGCAAGTTGCCAATGTGTGTATATGTTGAAAAATATATAATAAGTGGCTGTTTTTGAGGTTTTTTTTAAGAAGGGCAGAAATGAAAATTTTGGCTGATTCCGATTCCAGTTGAACCAAACAGTAACAATCGGAATCCGATTCCAATTCCTGACTGAACCAAACAAGTACCAGGAATAGGTGATTCCGATTCCGATTCCAATCCTGTCCATGAACCAAACACACCCTAAATTGCAATTGGTTTCAGTGCAAATTTTAACCATGTCCAAAATTAATTTGTACTTGGTTCAGTTTTGTTTTCAATTATTTGTGATTATGATTTGCATTCCTACCTGGTAAAAAATTTATACTTTTTGTCCTTTTTGCACTCACTGGTAATGCAAATGTTGCACTCCAAAAAATTGATGCAAAATTTGCACCACCTTCCTCCTATCTCAATTTTTTATTATATAAAGTGGGGACTACATCTTGCATCAAACCTTATTCTTAGACAGATAACCCTCCACCTCTTTTCTCTTTCATTTAAAGTAGAGGTAACCTTATTTTGATTTTCACAAACAAATAAGGCAAAGTCAAATTTTTAGCAAAGGTAAACCAGAACTTGTAGTTTTATACAGCCCTTTTGAACTACCATACATTTATATCAGTGCAAATGAAAATTGTACTGCAACCAATGCAATTTGTAGTATTTTAAACCCTCAAATTTCTCATATTTTACAATTTACATGAATTTGAAATTTTGAATGGGGCTAGTCGTTTGAATTCTGCAGAATTGAGGCGAGAGCATAAATCCACAGTACCACACAACCGATTGCAGCAACTACTAGTAAAATCGCAGGAACATGCTAAAGGAAAATTTCCCAAGTATTCTTGATTGAAGACATTTGCAGTGCTGGTCCATTAGGTATCCAAGCCCATCTGACCATCGGATAGGTTTGGGCTGTGGGCCAAATCCAAGCTTGAGGAGTGAGGACTATGGGTTGTTAGCCCGTTGAGCCATGGTAAGTGTGTATATTTTAATTCACGATGTATATACAGTTGGTCTAAATAGTGGCCTGGTGTAGACTTCTTCTCAGTCTGGTAGACATTTGATTTTGTTTGATGGATGAAAGATTGAGGGCCCCTTTGGTTTATACAGTTGAAATCAGAATTGGAATTGAAATCCTTTAAAATTGGAATCAAAATCTGTTTGGTTAATGGAAATTGGAATCAGCTGGAATATGATTTTATTTTTGGAGGAAATACCTATTACCTCAAATGGGGGAATATCATTCCACCAGGAATTGAAATAAGATTTTGATTCTGTCCAACCAAATAGTTGGAATAAAAATAATTCATTCCAATTCCAATTCCAGACCCCTATTCCTGCAAATCAAACAGGCCCTGAAAATTAATAGTATGACCTAACATGAAATCAAAACATTTGGTCAATGTGATCTACAACATGATTTTGAAAATTGGACCAAATCAGATGGTCAAACCAATTGACCTAGGAATCAGTCATGGGTTCAGGGCAGGTTTTGGACTCCAAAACCATCCAACACAGTTTTGGACCGGAAGGTCAAACCGTTTGATCCGGGAACCGGTGGCAAAGCGGTTCCATTTTCGATCAGGTTTTCAAAACAATGATCCGCAGGCTAACGTACCCAACCGGTCATTTTAATACGCTGCAGAGCTCGAAATTGTTCTAACAGGTTTCATCATACTCTAGCTGTGGATGCTCCTGAATATATGAAGACAACAGGTTTAACGGTCGGGGCTTTCTTGCATGATCTAATTACGTACATTCGGAATGCTATTGATTTTTTTTTTTTTTTGTAGGAAAAAACGTATCATTAAAACTTTAAAACGGGTGAAGAGCCTCATAGTCCAGGTTTACAATGATGCTTAGCCAATTAAGCATTACATTGGGGAAACTGTGTAGTGAAAGCTTTCAGTCCTGGCCCGATTGGCTAAGTCACGAACAGCCAGCCCTATTTGCAGAGCTGTTGACATATCGATAGAGTTGTGATGACAAGAAGACAACAGATGCCTGAGATCGGAGATAATGTTCCCTTCCTTGGATACTATCGTCATGATCTTCTATCGGTTTGTGTAGATGTTTTCTGTGCTAGAGATATTCTCCTTGATCTTCTGACCTATCAAAATTTTCGTCTAAAATCCCAAGTGTGAATTTAAGATGAAGGGCTCTTCTCTCTTTCTTTCGGATGCTATCGTCATGGAACAGTTAGATCCACTGTTTTCAAAACCGGACTGGACCGGATGGTCGGATTGGAAAAACCGGGAACCAGTCACCTGACCAGTTGCGTTTTCCTCTAAAATCGTTTTTTTCCTCAAAACTGTTGATTTTGGTCAGCAAATTGCTGAATCGGCTGGTTAACCGTTCGAACCGTTTTGACCGTTTTCCAATTTTTTATTTTATTTTTATTTTTTTGTCAGAATGGGCCGGTCGTTCAGGTCGAATAGTCGGACCGTTCGTACCGGTAATGGACCCCTGACCGGTTCGTTTTTAAAAACCATGGTTAGACCCTTTTGAAGTATTGGATTGAGGTTTGTGGCTCGGCGATGCAAGTCACAATGGAGAGAGAACATATCCCATTCAAGTAAAATATCACTCGGTAATTAATGGGATTGGATCTAGTAAGCACAACATAGAAATCATGTTCAATGAGCACTTGATAAATATTCTGACAATTGTCAAAAGGTGTCTTTACTCTTTTTCAAGGGTAGGTTGGGGGTATTTTAAGGAACAAGTGTCAAAAAACTTCTGAAATGCTCATTGAATGTGGTTACAATGCTGTGCCTACCTTATCAGGACTCACATATAATTATACTCTAGGAATGACCCCGTACTAAGTATGAGACCATTAATCTGAATTATTTCAACTTTTTAAATTATTTATATTAGATATTTAGGTTAGGCTTTTTATTTGATTTAAGAGACTTGCCATATTTTATCTAGAGAATGACCCCATACAAAGGGGCAACTACAATATCATTTAATTTGAAACTAGTGAATAACCTCCTACTAAGTACGGGAAATCAGTAATGTTAAATTTGCATTATGGAATCAATAATGTTAAATTTATATTTATTAATATTTTAAATAATTATTAAAATTTTAAGGAATATTTATTTCAAAAAATAGTTTTTCAATAATTATTAGAATATGGATAGTTTTCTTTTGTTATGATACGTAGAAGGTTAATGATTAACTGAGATTGATAGAATGTAGGTAGAAGTGGTTGTGGATAACCACTTTTGCATTTTTTTAGGAATGGATTGAAAATGGTGGTAGTGGGTTGTGGGTTTTAATAGCAACTTCTCAGAAAATGCCACATGTCTAACCTTCCAGAATGGTCGGAGGCTTTAGCCTACTAGTGGGTTGTGGGATTTAGCAGGAATTTCTTATAAAATGCTACGTGTATAGCTTTCTAGAAAATGAGAAGCCTACTTGTCTGAATGATGGTATTAGACTGTGGGCTTTCACAACAACTCCTCAGAAAATGCCATGTGTCTAAATTTCCAAAAAAAATGAAAAGCCACGTGTATGAATGGTGGGGGCTATAGCCTCATGGGTCTTACATCTTTGTAATTGACAATCTATTCTGGCCTACTTTGTTTGAAAATAACTTTTAATTTATGTTGTTTTTAATATAATTTAAAAGATTAAATGAGGTCTTATTTGTAAGCAGTAACCCACTTTAATTGGTATTTACTATTTATTCGATAAATTTATTTTTAAAAGCTAAATCAGGTTATGCTTCCAAAAAAAAGTTAAATATGTTTTGCAATTAATAAACTATTTCATCTAAAAGAATGAAACTAATACCATTTGTATTAATCGTTTAGTCATTTTTATGAATTTTATTTATTTTTATCCATTTAATATTTTGAATATTTTTAAGTTAAATTATTTGTTTAATTGTTACTTTTGAAGTGGGTGCGTTTGAATAAAATTTAGTTACTACTATGACATTTGAAGTGGCTACTTTTTAGGGATTAGGATGCTGTGTGTGTACATTTTCGAAGTGGAATTATCACTTTTTTGTGAGTTGATAGACTTTTTTAAGAGTGAGAGTTTAACCTCTTCTAAGATTCTATCTATTGAAATTTTGCAATGCCACATGCCTGAAGGGTGGGGGTTGTTGCCTATATATATTATGGGTGTGTCCTTGGATGTGTTTGCATTCCACCCATCTGCTTCATAAACACAATTATATTCTAATTTTTTAAATGATATTTTGATTTTTTTATTGGTTCTAAAACTAGCAAATCGTGATTTCAAAACCATCAAATTAAATGGGTGTTTTATAGTGTAGATGAAAAATTGGTTGGTGTGTTGTCAACCACATCACACATAACACATCATGTCTCATCAAGATAATTGTTATGTATTGTGGACAAAAATGTGTGGATTGAATTTTAGGCAATAATGTTTTGAACATTATGAAAGACACCTTTTTGAACATAACCACATGGTTAAAAAAGAAGGCTGATGCAACCATGTGATTCTTCATTTTGGACAATATTCCTATATTGCATAAAAGGCAACCTATATTTTTACATGTAACAATATATATCTTTGAGCTTATGATAAATAAATGGATGTATGATCAAAGCTGAATAGTGATATATAAATTGCTGAAGTGTGGGCTGCTTGGGAAGCCCACAATCTTGCTCTCAATTTCAATGGAAAATCCGTCATCATTAAGGGTGATTCCAAGTTAGTTATTAATAGTTTGAAAAAACAAGTGAACCCTTCGTGAAGACTGAGGAGGATCATTGAAGGCTGCAGGACTTTGATTGAGAGGATGGATGACGTCGTTGAATATGAGCACACTTATTGGGAAGAGAATCGAGTTGCTGATTGACTTGCAAATTGTGCTCATTCTAACCTTTCTTCTCTTGCTTGTTTTCCTTTATCTTTAAAATGTATTTCTTGTGCTGACATTTGGGAATGAATTACCCCCGCTGTGTGTAGCCTCTTCTTCGTTTTATTATTGATTTCTTGCTTCTTATTAAAATAATAATAATAATAATAATAATAATAATTTAATATTCTTCATAACGCTTCTTCATTTGCAGCCACTTTGACATTAATTAAGCTTGAACAAGTATGGTGTTAGGTGGTATAATTAAAACTATATTTTGACCTTGTAGCGGAATTAAATTATTTCTGAGATGAAATGGTCTTACACTCTTACTCTTTAGGCCTTAGCACGAGTCCCGTCATAGCTTTTGTGGTTGACTCGGTCAAATTTAAATCTAACCGAGCTTGGCCACATGAACTAGTATTGTATAAGTTAATAATAAATGAATAAATTGATGTCTTGATAAAATTAAGGGTAAATTATAAAGATCCCCTATATTATGACCGTGAGACAAAGACCTTCTTTTGTTAGTTTTTCGTTGAACTCCGCTGTTATAATATTTTTTAATTCCTAATTATTTTCGTAATAATTATTGAACAATTGAAGAAAAATACTATTCATCTTTCCCGATTTTATGATACACGAACAGCGGCGGCAACAGACTTCCGTTGAAGTCCTCTCTCTCTCCCTCTCTCTCCCCTATCTCTCTTCTTCCCCTTCCCCTTTCTTCTTTGAGATTTTCTTTGTTTTCCGTTCCTTGCAAATGGAGAAAAATCGGACTGGACACACCAAAACAAAATTTCTGGGTGAACATCGACACCGGAAGCAGCTTGAGTTGGGTCCGATGCCAACCCTGTACTAACTGCTCCAAAATTATAGTTCATCTGATGATTATATAGAGTTACAACAACAACAACTATGATCTAAGTTCATTATGATACTAACCCATCTCTGATTTGTGACTATGAGATGAGGAGACAAACGTTCACAAATTTATAAAAGGTTTTGGCTGATTGGCTCATGGCTGTGACTCCAAGCGATGGGCAGTAGTTAGATTGTTGGAAAGATTCTCTGGCTCTCATCTTCTCCTCACCAGTCACCCCTTTACACACTCCATGATTACTATGTCTATGTAAGTCAAAAAAGAGTCACAAGAGAGAGACAGAGAATATATATGTATTGTTTGAACATGACAACTGATCCATCCATTCAATTTCCAAGTAGCCCTTAAAAACTTTACCTCCATTGATACCCATCTCCCTATCCAGCTATCCTCCGCACCTTGCTTTATTCTTCCCTTCCTGAGTCCCAACATAGCCAAATAATCATGCTAGCGAAAGAAACTGGATTCTTGTAATTAATCTGTCATCATCGTTGTTTGGTATAGATTGAGCTTGATTGGAACAATACTAGACAAACGAACATGGCTAGTGTAGGAGGATGGAACAGAGAGGAGGAGAAGGCATTCTAGACCACAATTGCGATGCACTGGGCTGCTAACAACTCAAAAGACCGATGGGAGAAGATTGCTTCCATGGTTCCAAGTAAGACTGTAGCTGAACTGAAGAAACACTACGAGGTTTTGGTCGAGGATGTAGATGCAATTTAGTCGGGCCAAATCCCGATTCCCACTTACGTCAAGGAGGAGGCTGCCAGCAGCAAAGATCAACACCTCTTTCCTGCTTCTGCTTCTGGGGCTGCTGATAAGAGGTTGAGCTGTAATTTTGAAACTGGGTTTTCTGGGTTGGGCATTGATTCAAGCGGGGTTGGCATCGGACCCAACTCAGGCGGATCAAATAGGTTTTAAGAGAAAAGGGGCACAAAAAGAAAATAAAAAAAGTTTAATAGGATATTTTGATAATTTAACCATTTTATCATTTGACTTAAGGGAGTCTTTGTTGCAAAACAAAGTACAGCGGTTTTTGTCAGAAACCCTATAATAGGGATGTCTTTGTAATTTACCCTAAAATTAAATCAAACTTTAGTATTAATTTTACACAGAAGATGATTTGATTGTTTAATATATAGAGTAGCAAATCTCAACCGGATCTTAAGTCATTAACAACCCCAACGCAAAAAGTATGGACTTTTTGAGTTCAAGCTCAACACGCAATGATGATTATTCTTGGAATTCTGTTCACATCTTGTGCCGGATTAAAGAGCTTTAGTACAAAGAATGAGTATTAGGTGGACCCATGCCTTACCATAGGCAAATTCTTGTACTGATCTCTCAACTAACAAATGAATTGATCAAAGATGCTTGCTTAAGGTGATGGATGGTAATTTTTAAATTCCTAAAGATTTGGCTTACCTGTTCTTAAAATTAATTATTATTTTTTATTAGATTTCCTTGCTTTGTTTTTATTTTATTATTAGATAGGCCTAGCATTGTGGGGGCAAGGCGGGCTAAATCTTCTCCTATTATTACAAATTTTTCTTTTAAAAATGATTAATAAAATTTAAGATAGCGGCCCCTCCACACTTGCAAGGCCAACACGTAATGACAATTGGGTAGAGTACCGAGTCAATCAAAATATGGTTCGAAATAATAGGTAACCATCACTTGGGATGGGAGGTACAGAGGTACGGGGTACCATCATCTTTCCCATGTTGTTTGATATTAGATACAATAAAGCTAATTAATTTGCTGGTATATTTCCCCAAGTCAATCAAGATCAGGTATTTGAATTACATTTAATTTTATTATCTTCTTTCTACAAAGACTGCAATAGCCAAAAGAGAAGCATTCAAATTTCAAATCATGCATTCTCTACAATATGCAAGAAATAAAGATATATAACAAGTAATCGAACAGAATATATATGACCATTTCAACCAAACTAATATTTAAAGCTACCAATTAGAATTTAGACCGACATTCCTGCACAATATATAATATCATCATCTTCTACTCTCAAGTTGTTCTTCATCATTTAATTTACTTGTGATGACTTGTCTTCAGTTGCGCGCGGTGACATCGATGTTGTCTTCAGATAATCTAGCTGCCGATCAGGTTTTCGTCTACGGATCAGGTTTACATACCAAAAGAAGTCACCGTGGCTATGAGAAGCTACATAATGAGCACTCTACTGATGTGTCTACGTCCAAATTGATCAAGGTTGCAGCAAATTTGCTTGTAAAATTGTTTCGATCATCTACGAAGAAACATATACAGGAGGTAACAACCGTAGCTCATCACCAGGCAAAGCAAAATACAAAGCTTAGCAAGATTCACCCGCTCTTTAATATTCTTGATCCCCAACGAAGCAAGAAAGCCATGGCAAAGCCGGAGTTCTTGAGGTATCTGGAGTATATGAAGGAGGCTGGGACATGGGACCCTGATTCAGATGGGCCTGTTTTATATTTCAAATGACGTGTTTTTTTTTTTATTTATTTATTTGTAATCTTCTTCTCCTTTGTTTTAACTTTGTTCCCCTTGTGTGGACATTTTAGAATTCAGTGAGTCTTTGATTTGGGCTTGGTCGGGTGCAGCAAGAGAAAAGATCGAATATTTAGCTTTTGTTTTTAACCGTTTGGATTTTGGAAAAAGTTTTCCTCAGCAATTAATTTTGCATCTTTCTTAATACCGAAAAAAATTTTTTGCACCTTTCTTGCAGAAAATTGGACTTCAATTATATTTATATGGATGCACATGCACTACCTAATTAATTAAGGTTGAGATGGTTTGAACCGTGAGTAAGGGTGTCAATGGACCGATTTTGCCGTCCGATCCAAAATCAATTTGAACGGATTGGACGGACTAACAAGATATATTGGACTGGACGAATCCAGTCCAAAATATTTATTAGATTGGATTGGACCTGGTCTGTCTGTAATAAATTTATATTGTATTGAGTTGGATTAAGCTAATATCTGGTCCATTGATATAAGATAAGAAAATATGTGTTAATAAATTGGGTTTGGGTTGAAACCAATCTAAATCAAAATAAATTTAAACAGATTGAACGGTCCAAACATTGAATTAGACCGATTGATCCAAAACATTCATTGGATTGGATTGGACCTGATCCATTTATAATAAACTCACATTGGACTGGAGCAGCTGCTGCAGCTTCAATCGACGAAAAACTTGCATCTATTTTATAGAAGTGATAGTATATAATATACTCTGTGAAACTGTGGACGTTTGGAAGTGGCCAACCTTCCTCTTGTTCTGGATCGGTCACAGTGCAAGCATGTCCTGCTGCAATGAAATCATTATTTGGGGGTTGGAGCAACAAAACGGAGGGCATCTTTGTAGGATGATAAATATGGACCATCAACAAAGATCTTATGCATATTTTGTTTCAGATGGTCATGCAAAGTAAACGATAGATATGCATATCAACAATTGAATTGCTAGATTTCAGAATGTGTAAGCAGCCATATTCATCAACAACTGCATTAAATTTATGAACTAATCTAATGTAGTCCAGTTGCTGTGTTTTGGATGAATTCACTTTTAACGACATCTAACATGGTCTTTGGAAGTGTGGGCATTTTTCAAGAAAAAATGTCTATGCTTCTAAAATCTATTTTTCACAAAAAACGTTTCTGTCACGTAGGTATTGAGTAAACCTGTTTATGGGCTGGGTAGCCTGACGGGCTGGCCCGGCCCAGCCTGACCCCTGAATGGGCTTGAGCATGTGTTTTAGCCCATGGGCTTGACCTCGGGCCTAAAAGCCCGAGCCCGACTATTTTACAGGCCGAGCTCGAGATTTATTAAAAAAGCCCGACCCGACTTTTCCTAAACTGCCTAACCCTAACCCTAAGTACTTAAAACTTTTTCTTTTCATTCTTCTTTCTCACTCTCACTCTCAGAAGTGGCTCTCATTTCTCCCTCTCAACTCTCAGAACCGACGAACCCAGTTGCACCTGTGAACTCAGTCACCGGTGGCCGACATCACCAGAAGTAGTCATCTCTCTCTTCGACGATGATCTCTTTCTCTCTCCAGCCAGCACCGCTTTCATCTTCTTTCTTCTCATTCTTAGTTCTCTTTCTTCTTAGAACTAGGTCTTCCATCTTCTCAGTTCTCTCTCCAGTTGGTGCCTCCAGAACCCAAGTGCACTGTTTTCATTCTACGAACTCAGGCACCGGCGACTGGTGCCACCAGATCTAGATTCTCTCTCTCTCTCTCTCGAGCGGTTAGTTCTCTTTCCCTCTCTCTCTCTGGCCGACATTGTTGTCATCTTCTATCTTCTCACTTTCTCAATTTCTATTCTCACTCTCAGACTCCTAGGAATCGGCGAACTCGGTAGGCACCGTTCTCTCAATCCTCAGAGGGCATTGGCACTCAGACTCCTAGGTCGGGCTTCAAACTCGGGCCGGGCTTCATGCTTTTTATGAGGGCTGGGCTCGGGCCCAAGTTTTATACCCATTGGTCAGGCCGGGCTCGGGCTCAGACCTGAAAAATTTATGTTAATAAAGAGCAAAATCCTGGCCCGACCTATGAACAGGTCTAGTAGTGAGCAATACTATGTTGTTTGGTAGGGTGATTTTCATCATTGTTTTTCATGTATGTGCTGGCTGACAAATAAGCACCACATAGGATACACATCAATCAACAATTGGGGGAAATGGTTCACCGGGCGTTTCATGCATCAATGGGGTTCCAATTTTCGAGGCATGCCCTATTTTTTAATAATTGGTTGAACCAAACAATAAAATACATGAGCATTTATTAAAATGCCTATATAAATCCAACTTGACACCATTTTTTTGAAAAACAACCAGGGTTCCAAACATCTCGCGGGAGTGTTGGGCAATGATTAATACTAAAATAACTTACGGATTTGGGATAGTTTTATGACACCGGGTGATCCGGGTCCAACGGATCCCATCAAATAGAGGCTGTTCTTTTTTAGAAAAAAGGAATTAAATTTTTTTGGTTACTTAATTATGGGCAGTTAACTAGTTAAGTCAGCTGATCTACTCACATACAAGTTCCAGACTGACTCTTTAAATGTTTTGAGATCACATTGGCGCCTACAGAGCGCGCCCCACTGACGTCTCACGCCTCATGGAGTCATAGAACATTTAAACAGTACATTGGAAACATCTCCCAATAATAAGTACGGGAGATATTCTCAATGGACGCTCAGATGTCTATGCGGGGGCGCAGATGAATTCAAATGTTTTACTTGCCATTCCTTGTCATCCTCGAGGAGTTCGGATTACTCCTCACAGGTGCACCTCACTCCAATTTCAAAGCACATTTCAGCATACATCTAGAACATTTCTTATGAATTAAAAATTTACAAATACGAGATGTTTAAAATGCAGGGCTGATATGTCCTGTGAGGCTGTGAGATTGTCTTCGAGAGGTTATGGCCATGTTTAATTCATTGCTCTGGACTTTATTTTTTTAATTCTTGCTCATTCTAGGTAAGAATGAATAACATTAGAGTGTTTGGTTATAAAATTCTTGCTAAGAGTCGCATTCTTTTTAGAATGAAAAATTAAGTCTATAGCACAAAAATTGACTAACCTGCAATATGAAAAATAATAATGTCACATCTTGCTCATTTCATTCTTTAAGGAAACTCTACTTATAAAACTGTTGCCATATATTTTTACTTTTGTGAAAGTACTTTTATAAAAGCATTTTTATAAAAGCACTTTTATGAAAACATTTTTATGAAAGTACTTTTATGAAAGTACTTTTATAAAAATACTTTTATTAAAATACAAAAACACTTTTAGGAAAACATTTTTGCAAAAATATTTTTATAAAAGCATTTTTATAAAAGTACTTTTATAAAACATCTATGCCAATTGATAAACATTGATTACTGAGACCTAAGCCAGTGGTTTGTGAATATGGGTACATTTTTTTTTAAGAATAAAAATGAACAATATATGACACTTGTCGGTCTAAAAAAAATTTATTTTTAAGAAAAAAATGTTTGATTCATACCAATATTTTACCGTGTATGCTGTCGGACCAATTAACCCAGATGTGGGTCCCATGCTGAGATGTAGCTGCCCTACCACCAGTTTGTAAGTAGCACCTAGCACGTGGTTTTCGCGGATTTGTAAAGACAGTTTACGCTAGCTAGATATTTATCTCAGATATTTTCAGGATTTTAACAATTATTTCCTTCAGCCGCCAGTCTCTGACTCCAGATTTTCGGTTGACATGTTTCGGGAATAAGATTAGGGCGGTGTTTAGCATGGTGTCGTTTTCTGAAAAAGCAATGTCATTATTAGAAAATGCGGTGATTCAGAAAATAGTCGTCTCTTCAAAACAAATATTGTTTGAGATGAGATGAAGTGTGGTTAGAAGAAATGTTTTTCGTATTAAATAAAATCATTATTATTTTCTTAAAAAACAATTCCATACAACCTTTCCCTTTCATGATGTATTATTTTTCTTCACCCACAAACGAGGAAAAGAAAGGGAAAAGACAACGAGGAACAAAAAGATGAAATGCAGAGATAAAAGCATGGGCTTACATACATTAGCAATGTTTGTTCTCATATGATGTCCTCCTTTAACCGTTTTATTGCTGTGTAATATTATTATTATGGGTGTTACTCCAGTTCCAATCCCTTGGATTTGAATCTTTGTGATTTGAACCCGCAAATGGATACAAGGAATGGTAGGTGGGGGCCGCGTGAATGTGGACGTTTGTTTTTGGACCACCATTCATTATTTAATGGTTTGTGGTTGTTGTTGACATCGTCTTTCCACTGCTTTACGTGGCTCAGGCCATAAAGAAAAAAGGCATCGGCCGTTCATACTTCATATTTTATAGTTTATACCAAATTATCAACTAGACTACTAGAGGGTAGAGCCGTAGAGGCTGCTCTCTCCATCCCTTTGACCCTTCGCTTTATGATTTCCCTCTCTCTCTCTCTCTCGTACAAGCCTCATCCACTCCTAAAATTCCCAGTTCGCACCACAAATTGTCTTCGAAATAAAAAGCTGTAGCAGTAGTAGCAGCAGAACTTGTATTCCACTCTTCCTCTATCAAATCTCATCTGCAACAGATCTTCCAATTCTCTTCTTCTTCATCATCACTCGTCTCTCTGTCTCTCTCTCTCTCCCTTTGTGTGTATCTGGATCGGTTGCTAATTGGTCAGACGGTTTATCCTGACTGTATCTGTTTAGCTCTCGAGCTCTGCATCTTGTTGCTTTCGTTGATGGAGGTCAGTTTTATTTTATAGCATTTTGTGATCTTGATGCTGAATCTTCTCTTTTAGTTTTCTTCTTTGATTTACCTCTTCTCTTCTGCGTGACGGCCCTTGATGTTGTTTTCTCCCTGTGAAACTTTAACTATGGCTTGATGTATCTTCATTTCTCTTTTCTTTTAGAAGTTGGAACAAAAAAAACTTTATTTTTCTAAGTCAATCCATGGCGGAATTTTGTGCCTTTCTTCTCGATTCGATTTTCTTTGGAAACACCTGTTTCGGAGCCGAACTTCCGTCTCGCTGAGCACATACACTTACTCGTTTCTACTGCTAAGAGTAATCATTGCTGCTGCTAATTGTGCTAATTCTGCCACTTTTTGTTTGGGTTTCGGTGGCGAACTGGTTGATTTAGATTTTTGACCTTTCTGTAGAACAAACACAAAGAAAAGAAAGAACTGTGTTTTCAGTTCAAAGTGTTATACAAAATTTCTCCTTAAAAAAAAGAACCGTGCTTTCAGATATTAGAAGTACGCTCTATTTTCATCTACTCACTTCAATGTTCAAAATTGTTTTGTTGAAACACCATCACCATTTAACTTTAATAATTCTGCCTAAAAAAGAGAAAGACAGGTATTTCAGCCTTTTTCCTTTTTCGATTTCTCACATCACTCGATCCTCTAATGCAGCTTGTTCACTCGTACGTTTTCCTTTCTAATTGAGGTTCGTTCTGTGTTCGAGGTTCGCCAAATTTTCACAATCTCATGAATACCATCAAAAGATTACCACCAAGTATCAGATCAGCTCCTCCAAAAGTAGGGGTGCAAGTCGGGCGGATTGAAGGTCAACCCAGCCCAACCCTAAAGGTGTAAACCTCAGGTTCTGGCCTGGCTCAATCGGAGAGGTGGTCGAGCCTGGCTTACTCAGGTTGGTTGGGTTTGAAAGAATTTATGAATACATTTTATATGATCATCTTGCATTGGGTTTTATTGTCCAATTTAAGAGTAAATTTATTGAAAATATGTACAGTTTCATTTACAAATATATGTATAGATGTTTTATACATACATACGTGTATATATAATTAGGAAAAAATATAGTTTTCTATAGATATAATGCATGCATGTATATATATATGTTTGGGCAAGCTCGGGTTGGATTGGGCTGGGCTAGGGTCAGGCAAGGCTACCCAAAGCCTCAACCCAAGCTCAACTGAAGTTTAGGCTAGGCCCAAGTTTTTTAGCCCAAGCCCAGTCTTTATCCTGAAAATGCAGGCCCAACCCATGCAAGAACTCAAGTTGGGTCAGGTCAGTCTTGGGTTAGGCCTGCCCAAGTTGCACCCCTATCCAAAAGTGGAGAAACCTCTAAGCAGGGCAGCAGAGGACCTTATCTTAAGACACTATTGCCCACTTTTTAGTAGGGGTGCAATTTGAATGGGCTTGGGTTGGGCTTTTGTCAAATTTTGAATGGGCTCGGCCCGAGGCAGTGTAAAATTCTAACTCGGGCCAACCCAAGTTGCACCTGTACTTTTTAGATCCTTTTATGTGACTATTTATGAAGACAATCTATGCTTTTGTCACCATTTATAACAAAAATTAAGAGTCCTGTTCTTTCAAGGAATTCCAACTGCAAAATAACATTAACTGTTTAACTATGAACCTACTAAAAACACTCAAAATTAATAGATTTAAGCCTTTTCTTTCTTTCCTCAACCAGAATTATCTTGGAAATTCTATAGCTAGCTATGAGCAAGTAGTGAAACAATTTCTTGATTATCAGGTTCATTTTTCATAGAAGTTGATTTACTTAATTTAGAAAGATAGGATTGAGGCATGGATTGTGGCAAGACTTTCTCAATATTGGGGGGCTGAGTTTGAGTTTTTTGCACTAGTTTGTCATGGTGACTGGTGGACTATTGAAGCTTGGAGTGGCTAAGATCTGTATCTACACATGGGCTATGATGCCTAGATATGGGTACATATATGGAGATAGGTATTGGGAAATGGAGATATGACTCCAATTCTTATGATCTTGGACTTGGATATGATTATGGTTATGCACATCTCATGCTCCTATGTCTAGTCTTTATAGCTAATTGCTGTTTCTCAATACTTATATCTCACCAAATTCATTTAAACTCAGAACATATAAAGATTCTTTTTCAAGTATGACATTGTTAAAACATACAATTTTACATATTTTGAAAGTGTTGATGCTATAAAATGTATTCTAGAAGTTTCCATTAAGTATCTTCCTAACAGTATCCTGTATCTTATCAAGTCAAATTGTGTCCCAAAGGTGAGGCTCATTCTGTGGGTGTGTGCCTTGGCTGAACAGAGGTGCACCTCACCTGGCTTATTGCTAGGTTTTTATAAATTAACCTTTAATTTAATGCTGAATAGATAATTAACTATATTGTAAATTCTACCTATGATGTTTAATTTAAAGAGTTTAGCCTATGGAGGATTAATGTACAATACAACATTCTTTTGAAAAACACTATTGATGTAGCACAATCCGGTCACTCCTAGCTGGTGCTCGCGTGGCTCCTGAGAGGTACCTGAAATGAGAGGAAAGAGGAAGAACTCCCGGGGGGTTTCCCGGCAGGAACGCTCCGATGCTTAAGTTAGTATTGTGTGCAAGAAGCTGAAGGAGAACGAAAACTAAGAGTGCAGGTTGCGCTAGTCATTCAAGATACCTTGTTCCTTGAGAATAAGCTCCTTATAACTGAATTCCGTTGCTTCAGGCCCTCTGACTTCTGACAAGGCAGGTATAACCGCCATTGTTAGCCTGCCACAGCCGTTATAGGCAGGACTGAGGTGGCAGGTGCGGGGCCGTCGTGCAGGGTATGTGTCTGTCAGGTGTGGGACGCCTTTCTAAAGGTGGCAGGTGCGGCGAGGGGACATGCTTGCTGTTCGTAGGTTTGTCGGGTACGGTGGTCGGGCAGGAAGCCCTTCTGTGGTATACCGAACTGTTCTCCTTCGAATTACCTTGACCTGGGTTGTCCTTTGAGTGACGGGCTGCCTGTAGCCGGTTATGCCGAGCTAGCTGACCTGAGGTCTTTGTGCCTCGGGGCGTCCGAAGAAGAATCAGTGCGTTCTTGCTTGGGGGTGGTTCGAGGTCCATTGGGAGGAGCTCGGGTCTCAAAAGGGGTCAGGGTGCCCCGAACTCGGGACCCCCCGAAGTGCCTTAACCCCGGGGAGGAGGTGCGGGCAAGGCGGCTTTCGGCGAGAAGTTTACTTGTCGAGTTGCCGTGCTGAACTCGATGGGACTTCCCCTCCGAGTTGTGCTCACGTCCGTTGCGCTGTCATGCTGAGTCACTGTTTGAGCAAGGTCACGCCCACCTGTACCTGAGCTACGAGGTTGGGCCAAATCACCCTCCATCAATTGCCCCCCACTCCCTGCGCTGGTGGCGGTGACCCAGCGCGGGGAGGTCATGACGCGCCGGGTTGATTCGGCGTCGGTGTTTATGCTGCGTTGTCGCATGTTCCGTCCAGCTGTACCAGTCTAGCGCCCGGCTCGACCGAAAAGAGATTCGAGTCGCGTCCAGATTACGTGCGGACTTCACGCGACTTGGACTTCGCGGACATCAAAAACTCGCTAAATTGTTTTCGCCTTGAAGAACCCGTAGTCGTGGCTATAAATAGGGGGTCCCTTGGCCATTTTCTTCGCCACAAAGCTTTCGTCGTTAGTGTTTGAGATCGCGCCAGGGGTCTCTTAGCTCGGGTCCTCCAGGTCGTTCTGTTCTTCCAGTCTGGTTGCGTTTCTTTGGTGAGTCCTCCCGAGCTTCCTTTTCCCTTCTAGTTCGTTTCTTTCTTTTAGTTCGGTATGTTGTCTAGTGTAGACAGTCTCATCGATGAGCCCGAGGTAGGTACCTCGGCTCGGGATGTCCCCTCCGCTGCCCAGCCGTCCGAAGTACGGGTGGCTTCGGGTCATCTGGCGTCCACCTCCCA